TATAAATATATATATTTGTGACGATATAGTGATTTAGGTCTTTGTGTAAACTCTATTTATCAGACAAGCCAAATCTGTGTGGAGTCAAACCCACTGTACATTACAAAACATGTGGGGTATGCTGCTTGTATGTTCTCACAGGGACAAGTGGAAACCCATGGTACGTGTTTCTGGTTGTGAAAGGACTATCCCCAAGAATAAAACATGCAGAATCACACAAATTTTGTAGGTACTTTTTGTAAAACCTTTGAGGCTTTTTCACACTGAAATTTACAAGGAAGAGTTTCTATTGACATGGTGAGAGGTCAACTGAGACTCTCAAAAGCATGTTTGTTTTGAGCTACAGAGCAGGTATCAAACAGGCCCAGCCTAGCAGGCTCCATCCCATGAGCCCAGGCGCTGGCCCTGAGTGCAAAGGCAGCTCCAATATAGCAGCAAATTGCCTATTCTGGACTATAATCTACCCATTTCATGCCCCCATGGGACAGCAACATCCTGTGGCTACTCAATGTCTAGCCAGAACTGAACCAGGGTTTGAAAGACAATTTAAATTATTCTCATGCAAATAAATTCTGAAATGAACCACAAATTGCCTTGGATTAATGGAGACAGGGAATGACTTCTTCTCAAAATTTAATCAAGACATAGCTCCTTCTTTCCTGAAGCCAACGTGGGTTTTTTTTTCAAAGAGCTACACTGACTGAAAGGAAAAAAACTAGTCTCCATCCAAAAGAAATCGTAGAAGGTAGCTGGACAATCTTGACAAACATGAAATATTCTGCTAAAATACCAAACTAAACAAAAAGGTAACAAGGCCTAAAGTGGCCTAGACAGTTTAGCATCACTATCTGGAAAAGAACTTGGCATTCAAGTCCACAGCTACATCCAAACAGAGAGAGAAGATTAGCTCTGTTTGCTACACCAAACATGTCTGCCTTCCTCTTTCTTCAAACATAAATAGTTCCAGACTTATAAATAAATTAGCTCAACTTGGGTTATACAAGCTATTTCTTTTTTTTTTTTCTCCAAAAAGGAATAAAGATGTTTATTTAACAATTGTAAATTAAACATAAACAGAGATTTTTTCATTGCATAGTGATCCTTTCCAGCAGGTAATGATCAGCACTATGTCCATTTCTCTTCCTTATCCTGTACTTTGGGATCACAGCATCATTATGGCTACTTCTGATGGGAAATGGAAGGAATAAAGCTATGCAATAAGAGGAGATTTATTTGTGCTTATTCACTGTAAAAACAAAGTAATAATGAGGCTTAAATCACAGAAAATAAGTGCAACGAAATTACTTAACATTACTTATAATTTTGTTCTTTAAAAAAACCTGCTTTCTCCGTGTGTATGTGTTGTGTGGAACCTGTGAACCCTGGAAAGGCTGATGGGGGACAGACAACAGTTCCCAGAGGCCCTGTGAGCACTAACCCCTGGGCTCTGCTGAGCCTGTTCCAGGACTGTCTGCATTGTGTTGCTGCTGGGATTTTTTCCATCGAGATGGTTACGGTGCTGTAGCTCTGGGATTACAATACATCCTGCAGCAACAATATGATGGTGTAAACAGAAGGCTCACCCTGGCTTCAAACTGGGGCAAGTTAGTTTGTATGTTAGTGTGGAAAGTTCTGATTGTGTTTTGTAAAACTCAAGCAGGTCATAAGTACTGCCATGATGGGATGTGAAGTTTGGCTTTAGGGCATGATTAGCCAAGGGCAGGGGTTTTTCTTCTCAATATTACAGTGATGCTTCACATTCTTTCTAAAGCTGGCTGGAGTAAGGTGTCTCTGGCTTTGAGTCCCTCTCCAGCATGGAGCAGATTATTACTGTTATTACTGATTTATGTCATGCCTGTCTGCTTCCAGCCTCAAAACACTTTACTAAGTTACAATATACTTAGGAATCATTTCACATCAGCCACCACCACACTGCAGCCTTCTCTGGAGGGAAACTGAGGGGAGCCATTAGGATGGTGCCTGCAACATTAAACAACAATCCAGGAGAGGAAGTCAAGACTATTCTGCTCCTTAAAGCAGTGGCTGAGCAGAATGCAGCCACTGAGCTGCCATCCAGCTGGGACACCAGAGCCAATACCCACTCACCGTGTGTGGTTAAAATGAAATCTCCTAATGAAGTGAGATGGTTTTAGTGGTTAGAGAGTGAGTGCAAAGTATTATTCTCCTGTATTATTATTTGTAAGCTATACAGCTAACAAGGGAAAAGATCATACACAGGAAAACAGCAGACAGTTAGATCATGTTCCAAGCCCAGTTTCTAAAAGGCATTTGAGCAAATACAGCTTTGGAAAGAATACATTAAAAAAAAAAAAAAGATGACAGAAAAAAAATGGAATTGGCAATTTCTCACTATTTTTAGGAAACTAAACTAAACTGAACAGAATTTATATCGTTTTTTATCCCCTGTAGTTCGGGTCCAGAGAAAAGAACATGATTAGCTTCTGTTAATGAGCAGGTATTCCCTAAACACTGCTGCAAATGCTCCTGAATTTTAATTTGCTTAGAAAAAAGAAATGGTATTGAGGGGAAAAAAACACCTTAAGAGCCTTTTTTTTTTTCCTTTTGTCCCTGAATTAACAAAATGCTTCGATGCTTTTCTGGGCAGGAGGTTTATACATATGACTAAAAAAGATCCTCACACAATGTTATCAAGCTCTCCTTTCAGGGCTAGTAATTGCTAGCTGGTTCTAATCATTCTTGCAAGTGATTATTTGAAAGGTTCATTTTATGACCCCTCAAACTAGCACAAAGAATCTCACTCCATAATGTAATAAACAATTCTACAAGCAGTGCTCAATGAATTCTCCAAAGTCACCAAAAGGAGCTATTAATGATCTCTCTTTTTATCTAACCATAAATATGTAAGTCTCCTGGGATAAAGAATTTAAAAAGAACATTCTGGCAAGACTAACTGTCGACTTGATAAAGCAGAAAATGGTCACCAGTGATAGTAATTCAAAATACAGGGCAATGCTATGTAGTTTGGTTGGAAAGTTAGGTCAGGTTGGAGTAAATGTCTCTGAATGTTGTGCTTACTAAAAAGAGGACAGCACTACATGGTACAAACCAGGCTCAACCCAAACGAATACCCAAGAGTAAAATACTGCAAACTTGAGAAAATTATTTTTAAAAATTAACTCTATTTGGGAATTTGCTTTCCTGGGAAAATATTGCCAATCATTAGAATTAGAGGGTGGACAATATTTCAAGGTTGTTTAAAATAAATATGGTGCAAAGCCCAGGCTGATATTTTCTAGAACTTTGGTGTTTTAGGAGCCCAAGTATTGTTCTCATAAGTAAATCAGGCCGTAGGAAGCCCTTAAATGAAATTTAGTTTCCTGGCAACCTAACCCATTGCTGAAAATTAGATTTAGGCTTCTAATGGGCTTTGATGTTTTTGAAAGTCACACTTCCTGCAGCACTGCACAGCTGACTAGGTGTAATGCAGTCATTTACCTTCTACTGAGGCTATCAGGAACAGAACCACTTTGATGGCTTCTGTGATGTCTGTTTCAGAGAATGTAAAACACCATTTTTGCTGGGCATAAACAGTGATGAGTGGAGTCTCTGACCAGAAGGAGGAGGAGAAAAGCAAGAGAGAATCTGCCTCTTCCAAAATAAGCTCATGTAGTCCTTTGGGTGCTTGTGCTTGATGCCAGGGGAGCTTGGGTCTTTCTGAATCTTTCCTGCTGGAACAATTCCTGTGACACCAACTCCTGGAAACATGAAACACACTGTCCCACCACAGCCAGTATGATTCTTGCTGTGGGTATGGAAATACAGGGTTCAGGTACCTCTAAAATGAGTTTTCAATGATTAAGGCTAAGAAACAAATGCAACAGGAAGCTCTAAGAGGGAAACCAGGAGAAATAATGAAGAGGACTTGCAGGCTCCTCACTCCTTGACTGCGCTGGGCAGGGCAAAGAAGGCCCCACATTCTCAGTCCTTTGACCCGTGGGAGGACTAAGGGTCCCACTGAGAGATGGAGGCTATGGATTGCTGTGCTTAACCCCGAAGAACTTACTGTTCTGAACATTTTAGAAACCCTGGAAGTTCCTTTTAACAGGAAAATTTTTAATTTCTCATTTTTGTTCTAACCGGCAATAAAACTTTTTTTGTCCCTTTAATGTTGGAATTTCCTGTGGAACAGAAATTCTCCTCTAAAACCATTTCTATTCAACAGGGCTATTCAGATGGAAGCATTTTCTTATTCATTCTGCTTTGCAACTCACTGGTGCCACCCCGAACATGTAGCTCTTCCAAGAATGATGTGGCATCCCTTGGAATAGCTAATTAGTTGGGCTGTATGATGACTCTGCCAAAAGCTTCAGTTTCCAGAGGCATTTCTTTAAGGAATGGTGGTGTGGGTTTGGCTTTCACAAGGATACACATGGTTTCAGGAGCCCACAGGCACCAAAAGTTAGTTTGTGTTTTGTAACTGCTCATCTCAACCCAGTCATTGAGTCGATGTCCCAACCACAGGGAGTCAAGCAAACTTCTTCAAAGCACTCATGGAGAAAGCTTTTGGTTAATTTATTTTTCTTATTTTAATAAACAATTTCATCTTGGGGAATCTTTTAAGAAAATTCCACTTCCACAACTATTTACTGGGAAAATAATTAGATTTAAACATAACTCGCATTGCAATGTAACTTCTTGTAGACAAATATCTTTGTCACTTAGCCCTCAAATTTTTGCACATTGTTAAGGAACATGAAAGATGTCTAAATCCAGTACCTTTATACTTGGTCACCACAGCTGCGTTGACACTCAGAGGTTCCTGGAAGGTGACAGTGAGTGATGTACTGCTCGTTACCATGAGACAGACATTGGTTGGCGCCTCGGGGGCTCCTGGGAGAGAAGAGAAAACATCAGCTCCTCAGCACAACAAATCCTATTCAAACAATGTTTCTGAGTCTTCAAAGAACTCACTGAAAATCACCCTGCAATTGTGAGCTTTGGGTTGTAGGTGTTTGTGTTCTCTGCCTTTTGAGCATTTTAATTAGTGACCCTGCTAACAATATCCTGCAGACACCATTTGTTTCTATCATGGGTTTTGGCTCCTTTCAGTTAAAAATATCTTCCTGCATATATGTAACCCAATAAAACAGATTCATGCTAATTATGTCGATGAAAAGCCCCTATAAATCTTTTGAGGTGGATAGGAGGAGAGAGAATGGACAAAACCACAAAGAGCTAATTAAACCTTTATGGTTTCACTAACAAACTAAAATTTATAAAATAAGAGAAAACATTTTTACATTGTTGTGGTTCAAAAAATTGCAAATTCCACAAAAATTTCAGTGCAAGAGTTCCAAAATGCAGTTGTCAATTGAGGCCTAACATTTTTATTTTAAAAACAGGCAAAAAAAAAAGTTTGAATCACAGAATATGAATCAGACTCAATTCAGAAATCAAACACAAAATGTCACAACTTACTGCTGGGATTGATTTAAAAATCAGTATATTCACTTTCACTACTGCTGTATTTCCTGTATTTTGTATCTAACAGAAGGAGCACTATATCTGCCTGAAAGAAGTAACCTTAGAATACAATAAATTTGGGCAAATTATTTGTATGTACCTTTATGTAGAGATGGTTGTAAAAATGTTGATGGCAATGACTGTATTTCAGCAAACAGGATACAGCTAAAAGATCTACATGTGAAACAATTCAGTCCTGTTTACTCCTTCCTATGGGCCCAAATTCCTATTTACTATGAGTACAGACTCACTTGTACAACTGTTTCAAGTGACTCAGTTTGTGACTGTGCTGATGAAATAGATACCAAGATTAAGACTAATGGTTACCAAACTTAAGATCAAATTGTCACAATGTTTATATGCAAAACGAAGTTTCATTGTTTGATCAAATCTTTCGAAGAACTCCACTCCAAACAAGAATAACTTTCAAAAAAATAAACTACAACAGAGAAAATGCCAATGTCCCCATCCCTCCTCCTACCTCTTCATATGTTCTTTTATAGTCTTCCTGTTTTAAACATATTAGATACAATCCAGGAGTAAATGTGAAGAGAAATAAGCAGTGCAGAATCATTACATCCTGAACCAAGTGTTTGGAGGTCTCATCTTACCAATTTTATGCAACCCACTCCTTAGGAGCCATGTGCTTGTTGCTCTCAGATATTGGGTCCTTTATTGTTCTAACATCAATTTCCTTCTCAGTCTTGGCAAGGCCATTTCATCTCATGCCTCAGTTTTCCCACCCCGACAGTCCTGTGCTGCACAGCAGTGCCGTGAGGGTCAGTCAGGGAGAGCATCTTGGCTCAACCAGGGCAGAGTTTTCCCAGTTCTAAAGTTTGTGTGGAATTCCTCTCCATCCCCCTACTTACGGGCGTGCTCGTAGCCTGCCTTCATGCGCCTGTACAGCTTGGACCTCCACTCCCAGGCCCTCAGCAGCTTCTCTTTCTCCGTGAAATCTGCACCAAGACCTTCGTTCACCACCTGTGCAGACAGTTCAGAGACTCTCTGCTGTGCCTCCTGGACCAATGTGCTCAGATGCACTGACCTGCTTTCCATGTTTACAACTACCAAGAAAAGGGAGAAATAAGTAAGTGCTTGGTGGACTTAGGCGAGGAAATTCTGGCCTCGTGCAAAACGCATGTAAGATCGAGTCCTTGAATACTCTGCCTTGCAGTAGTTATCTTGTCATCAAGTGGATTAGAGCATGCCAAGTTATACCAGTTAAGGATCTTGCCACTTAAATGGGATTAACAACATGAATAAATGTAGCACAATTTTTCTGCTGATATTTCTCGTATGCTTAAAAATGTCTTAATTAGACTGAAATTGCAGATACATTTGAAGTTGGTGGAATATGAAAACCAAACTAAAATAACCTCTCTCTCCAACCCCTACTTTGCCATGATGTCATAAGCTTTCATAAAATTAAGAAGATTGTACTGGTTGTAAACATAAACACATACAATATATAAACCTCTACAAAGAAAGAGAGATCTAATTGGCAAAAGTAAGAATGAGAGTTTCGTGCCTAAGGGCCATGGCTGGTAGAGAATGGATCTCTCTTTATGTTTTCTTTGTGCCAGTTTTGCCTGTTCAATACCTAATTAGTCCTCTTACGTGCAGAGAGCAGTTTGACACATGGAGATTTTTTTCCTCCGGTGCTCAGGATAATTTTAATTTTACTTTTATCAGTTCCTATTGCCTGTGAGAGGCCCAGTGGGCTGCAGAAAGATGAAAATGAAGATCACATAGGTTGCAAACTAAACTAGGTTTGATTTTAGTTCAAGTCCACAAGACAACTCTAAACCAGCCCCTTGATTATACAGTGAAACGTGGTGAATCAAGCCCTATTTTCAGAGCTGATCTTAGCCTAAAATTGTTTAGACTATTTGCAGTTTAGAAAATAGGACTTGTAAAGATGTTTAACCTGAAAAGAAATGCAGCTATTGATCTGATGTTCAACAGGCAAGAGATAGTGTACAAGAGAAGGAGTTCTGAAAGCACAGGAAATAACCTTGGTGTCTGGTGGTTTTGCAGAAGAGCCCTGAGATAGTCTCAATTTAAAAGTCCTCAGTTTACCAAAGACAGTGCCCTAGCACAAGCAGCTTCTTGTAGCAATGGTGAGGAGTTGCTACGTGGGGACATCAGGCTCTTTGTTTCCTGAAGGTTTTTACATGAAAAGTAGGAATCTTGCATGGGCTGCACTTAGCATTCATTTGCAGCAGACATTTATGAATTCATCAAACTGGACCACAGAAAGCACCAAGACTCTGACAGGTTTTTGACATCAAAACACCACAGCAGCAAGGATGCCTGTGGATATGAATGTGTTCTTTCTAAACTGGGATCATATAGGACAAATCAGAATGGAAAGAACCTTCTGTAGTCCAATTCCTGTTAAAAACAGGCTCAGCCAAGAGGTCAGACCAAGTTACTGAAGGCATTACCCAGCCTGGTCTTGAAAATTTCCCAGGATGGTTGGAGGCTTTACAACAACTGTTCCACTGCTTCACTGTCCTCACAGTGAAAGAGGTGTTTTATCCAGTCTGAACCTCTCATTTTAACTTTTGCCTTGGTCTTTCATAACAATATGACAGTTGAAGTTTAGCAGAGTCTAAGAATATCCCTAGGTACTGATGGGAAAAGTGCCCGGGGAGCTTCACAGTCACAGGAGGAGAGCAAAGAATTACTCAACACCTCTGACATCCAAAGGGTTGTTTTTGAAGAATATTTGTCTCTTAAGACTTTGCTTTCAGAAGCTGGCTTGGAGCCATCCTTCTTGAAGTTTGATCATTCTTCACATGGACATCAGGGACATATGGCCAGGCTCACTGGAATCTGCTGGTATCCTCAGAACTGCCAAAGGGGAGAGGGTTTCCTGGATCCACGCCTGCAAGGAGCATGGAACACATCTGAGGGCACAACAGGACTGAGGAAGGAGATTTTATGTGCCAGAACTTCAGGTGGTTGAGAACTGGCATTGGTTCAAGCTCTCACTAAGGATCTGGCTCTATCTGTTTAACCAGAACTCCGATCCACATTTGTCAGGTCTTGAAAACGTGTCCAATCAGCCACTGGGAACTTCAATCTTATTTTTATTTGGGTTCTCATGAATGAGCCAAGCCAAACCATGAGTATATGATGAATAAGAGTAACTGAAAAGATAACACAGTGGACTTTGCCTCCTTCCCAACTAAATTACTATTTCAAAAGCTGTACTCTCTGATCTTAGTTACTTTCTGTTTAAAAGATGTTGGGTTCCTGTTAAGATTTATACAATCTGAGCTCCATGTGGAGATGAAGATCATAGTTTTACTTTTTATTGCTTTATCTGCTGCTGTTCCTGTTCCAGGCAGAAATCCAGGTGATACAGATGGAAGCTATCTGCCCTCCAGATCCTCTTTGCTACAGCGTTAAGTTAGGGGCTATAATGAGATTTCAGCTGGATCACTACAGCTAATATAGTGGCAGAGCAAGAGTTTTCTGTGTGGGAAACTTTTTGTGTGCACTTGGAATGGGGAATTCCTCTATCTTGCATTCTCCTAGCTCTGTGCATCTGTCCTATAACCTTCTAATCAGATCAAGAGATGCTTGTGTCCAGTCCCAAAATTGGGTGAGTCAGGATTTTACCCTCCCACTCAGCCTAGGGAAGTCTTGCTCCACTGCCCACCACAGAGAAATGAAAATGCACCTGCTGAGTGCTGGATCATGTCCTTGCAGTGCTGAGATGTTACAAACAGAATGCATTTCATTTGAAACAAGGTTGGTTAAGTACAGAAAGCAGAGCAGAAAGACTGGAGCAAATAGAAAGTGACTGCTATCAGTTCCACGATAATGAAGCCACACACAAAGATGCTGTGAACCTTTGTTTTGAGGGCTGAAAATAACTTCTTGCATTTTGCTCTCTAGTAGCAACTGGAAACCCTTCAGGTAAGAAACCCAAACCAATCATTTGCTTTTTATTGAGAATGCTTCATCCATTATTTCAATCAGAAAACCTAAAAATCAAGATAAGTGAAGTGGAAATTTGGTGGGTATATTTTGAAATGGAAATGAGGTGGTTATATATTCATATTCTCTGTGTTCATAGGCATGTTTGCATTAATTACAGGAAATGAATACTAATTTATGATTGCCCCTGCTCGCCATCAGACTGCATTTATTTACAGATGAGGTCAATGAAAAATTAGTTTAGTCTTTTTTACTGCTGTTTAGAACACTCAAGACTGTGTTTTCCTCTAGATTTGTCATGGTTAATGAATGTTGCTTCAGCAGTCAATCATGTACTCTAAATGCTGTCACACTTGTTTTTAAAGCCTCAGTCATGAACCATGACAGAAAAATAAACAAATAAATATAAAACTAAAAAACTCTTTTCACTGAGCAGCTACACTATGCAAAAATCTCCAGGGAAGGTTAAAGGAGGCCAGAATAAATGATAATATAAGTGCTGTGGATATAGAAAAGCAATAAAGGTGTACCAACACTGAGGGTCTGGCAAAAAAACTCAACATGCACATGCACACACACTCTCCAGTGAAAAAAAACTGGCAATGTTAGTAGCCTCAAGGTGCAATTTCCTGGAGCACTGAGATTGACATGCCAGCACTAAATGTTGTTAATTTAACTAACTTCAAATTAATGGCAGAGTCTGCAGTGGTCGAAGCCCTCAAACACAGTCTCATTATAGCCTTGCTGGGAATGTCCTAAATATAGGCATTGACAGTTTAAAACAAATTCACATACATCAATGTATTTTTAGACCCAAGTAAGGCGTCAGAGTTTGTGTCATGGTATATGGTTGATTAATTGGGGTGGTAAGTCACCCTCCAACCCACAAATTGTGCATAAAAGGGTCCATGAAGGAATACAAAGAAGTTTTATAACTACAATATGTAGTTATAAGCAATATCGGTATACCAGTAAAGTGAAAAGGTCTGGTTTGTGTGTTTAGATTTTCTCTGGTTCTGTAGAACTTTGAAATTCTCATTTGAATGGTATTTTACACCATTTGAAGACCAGGAGTGAGGAGTCTGTGGGTAATGGAAATGATGGATTTTAACACAACTGGTCTCCTGAAGGCAGCAGAGCCAAAATCAAAAGGCTAAATCAAAATAAAGCAGAGTCTAGACAACACATCATCCTTTCATTTTTGATGACAAATTCTATATTTTAGACCATGATCTTTGAATCTCTCAGCTCCTGTTTCCATATTCTTAAAGATTTTGTTCTCACTCTTGGCACTAACTCAGCTGCTCCAGTGTTAATCACATTAGAAGCTCAACCTGATCCATCAGTTGATTTACCTGAGATAGAGCATAAAAAACTTCTCCTGAGCACACATTCAACAAGCACACATTGCTTCAAACATCCTCCAGAACTGTGGTACTCTGCTGGTATAATCATCCTTAATTAATCTGTAATTAATTTCCCCAAACAACAGCAAACATGATCTCCTACAGGCAATTATCAAGGTCAATTCATGTTCTTTACTTACAGTGTGGGCTTTCCTTTGCCCCAACATGTAGAAGGGTCCTAGCAATAGGGACGTTGTTTGTCAAAATGGCAATATCCAAAGGAGTTAATCCTTCACTGTTTGGGGTGTTCAGGTCTAGTTCCTCCAGTGTGTATTGATAAAGAAGAATCTGAACAGCATCCAGATCTTGCTGTTCTACGGCCTCAAACATAGCTTCATTGCACTGGAAATTCTGTGTATCAATAAAAACATAAATTCAGTATAACTCTTCAAATGTTAGTGCTTTAAAAATTGAGAAAATTTGTGTTCTATGAGACTGTGATAAAATATTGATCCTTCAGCCCCAACTAGAGGCATGGCAATTGTTAGCAGCAGAACTGAGCTTAGTCTCTGTGACCAGACTTGTGTGCTTGAGCTTGCTTCAGGTCTGTGGGAAGACTCAAGTGAGATTCAAATCCATGTGAAAAATGCTTATTTAGACATCTGTAATCAAACTATGTGAGCAACATTCTATGTTTTCAGTGTGAGACTGGATGATCGACGTTGGCAATCTCGTACTACTGTGTTTTTCAAACTCAAGCCAATCTGGAAAAATACCTGCCTGGTTCCAGTGTGAACCAGGAATAGGTGCTGTTCATTCCAACACTTCAGTCATTTCCAGGAGCTTGTATTATTGCATTTAAGTTGCAACTAGAAGAAGCTTTGAAATACATAGTGTCTTTAAAAAAAAAAGTAGAAATGAGACTGAAAAAAATTGACTGTCCAGTGTGTATGTCTGAGCAGCAGAGAGCATGAGCAGCCAAGCCCGAGAACATTCATGGTGCTGACTCCAAATCAGGGAGAATCACTGAACCTGTTCCTTACCAGTGTCAAGGAGATAAAAGAATGATATAATACAAAGCACCCATTGTTTCTTAATTGAGCTGGGAAGAAGCAGGTGCAGGAGAGTAGCAGGGCCTGCAGGTTTCTGTTATGAGAACATCCTTCTGGAGCCTACAGTAATGACTTGTTATTTGCCAAGATTCTTCAAATTCTCTCCCAGTGTCCCATTGCCATAATTACCTAATAGGGTTTTTCCCTCTTTAGGATGAATTAGTAGAAGCAAGAGGCCCAGCAAGGCAAGGAGAGCTCAGCATGTGGTCACGTAAAGGAACTGAGGTCTATGCCAAGGGGTGTAACTAAAGTATTGCAGAGATCAAAGCAAGCAAGCCAGATACATGATGTAAACTAGCCCCCAGTGTCCTGAAACCACATGGAGGGAACACAGACAAAACCCTTATCACAGAATGGATTCTTCATTATATGAAAAAATTACTGAATTGAAAGCATCTTATACTGTGATTAGAAATTAACATTTCAGCCACACCAACACTTTGTTTCCTTTTTTTGAAATTGCTGTAGTTTTATTTGGCATTTCCTTGTCTGAGTTTTGTTCTCAGTAAAACAACAATTTCTGAAAGAGCACTGCTCTGCTGGAACACCTTTTGTGTCCTCCTAAAACACTAATGGCTTGCAAGCAGTTCTGGAAACTAAAGTCCACAGCTACACCTTGGAATTTGATCAGTTCTACAGGCTTTTTTTCCGTTGTGCTTGAAGTTAAAAGTCTCTCCAGAAATTCTCATGCCTGACAGAGATCTGGTTTACTGTTGAGCATGTGAAGTATTGGTACCACACTAAGAAGCTGAAAAGGTGATGTTATGTTAGAGTTTTACTATGGACCTAACCCATGCTGAACAGTAGGGACCAGCAGGACAGGAAGACAGATGTACATTAGATGACCTTTACCCAAAACTGTCAGTATAGAGAAATGAGACACTTATGTTAGATGGCTGTCTAAGGATGAGATGAACAATGCAGCAATAAAGCCAATCTGGGACAGTAGTGCTGACTTGGGAATCTACATTTTAGATGCTGAAGTCCAAGACAGCTCATGCTGGAGAAATATTTTTTCTGTAGATTTCCATGCAGAATAAAGCACTTAAGTGCTAATTCTGGAGCTCCATCAAATTCTTGGGTTTAGATTCTTGTCTAGATTGTAAAAATCAGATTTCATTTTATTATCAAACACTTAGATCACACTTCAGTGCTAAGTATATAAGAAAAATCTCAGAAAAAGGGACAGCTGAATGCTAAGCAGCTTCATTTATCATTCTTTATCCACCCCTCTGTTCAAGGCAAAAATTGTTTTTAAGGCCTTACGCTGTGATTAGTGAGACCACATGTCCAGAAAGTTTTGGAAAAGAAGACAGCATGTATTTCTCTTATTATAAGGCAAAAGTTAAAAAATGAGAGAAATTTTTACTGCAATGCAGCAATATTTCTTTTCAATCCAGTAGCTCCACACATCTGCTGTCTGGCTTATGTAACTCCTCAGCCTCCTTATATTAGAGATCTTACTCTTATTTTGGTGTTTTGCCCCTACTCTGAAAGGGTGAAGAATTCTGGCTAGAAATTAAAATAATTTTAAGAAATATTAATTATAATTACCAAATATTTTAATTACTGGTATGTTTCTGATACATTCTGTATGCCTCAGCTCCCACTGAAGTCAGTGATAGTCATTTAATAGCTGTGTATCACTGTACTATGGACTTACAGTTAATGTACATAGATCATTGTTGTTTCACCTAAAGAGGAAAAAAATAATATGCTTTTCACTCTTTTTGACTTTATTATCATGAATGCAGAACTGTAAACTGATAGACTGGTTTTATTCATATAAATTATTAGATGTATAAAATCATGAATCACAATGGTTTGGGCTGGAAGGGACCTTAAAGATCATCTCATGCCAACCTCTGGCTGTGGGCAGGGACAACTTCTACCAGAAATACATTCACCAATTCTCAAAAGGAAAAAGTATCAGCATTCTGAAAGGCATTAATTTCATCACAGTTTACAGCCATTTCAAAAGATTTTTTTTCTACTGACACTCTATTCTATTTTTCCTCTATACTGTTGTTAATGAAAATCCAGGATAATTCTGCTTCGGAATTATCTACATTTTGATCCAATCAGAAAACAAGAAAAATCAACTTCTCACAGCTAGGAAAATCTACTTATTTAACTGCAAATTAATCAAGATCTGACTACAAAGGGAATTGGTTGAAGGAAACTGAATGACTACATTATCCTGCATTTCTTTCTGTTAAGTTCATTATTGGAAACAGTCTGAGAGCAGAACAAAAAGGTAAAGCTGAGTGACAGGCTGTGGTACTCACATTTTTACTTCTGTGGCACTGGGTACATACATGGCTTTCCCTTTTTATAAAACCAGAAGAGTGATTCTCTTTTAATTGACTTCAAGAATGTGCACAAAAGTTAAGTGAGTTGGCATTTGTAGGGTGCTACCCTAAGTAGCAATACCATTATTTGGCTTTAATTCCAGGTTTGTGTGATACTCAAGAAATCTTGTACTACATTTCAGGAGTTTCTTGTGTTATATAAGGCAAAAATTCTATTATGTAATAAAGAGAGGGAGATGGGTAACATGTATTACAGCTGAAATGAGCCCAACTTATGGCTTACTAAAGCATTTGGTTCTTTTCAAATATATCCTCATACTTTACCAACAGATTAGATGCCTTTGAAAATGTGTCTTTGGATTTTTGCTTGCCATAGGAAATACCTGAAGTATTTGTGAAATTTTAGCCCTAAGTAAGTTGCTGAACAGAATCTAAGCACATGTTAAAGTTAATTTGTTGTAAATGCTCTTGCCAGCTAACCTGTTGGCAAAAATGTTTCACCAAAAGGGAAAAAAATAAAAGCCAATTTCTTTTCTTCATTTCATTAGAAATGTGATTGAAAAAGCTGCACTGATTTAAATGAGAAACAGAGCATGAATATTATAAGCTACTTTATCCAATCTAAACAATTATGAGACCAAATTGCAAATCTCAGCTTTTCCAAATGAACAATTCAGACACAAGCTAAAGTACACTGGTAAGTCCTGTAATGTCCAAGAGTACAAAAACATGGGAACTGTGATATGGCCTTTTGAACTGGGCATGTATGCATCCCTCATCCACACAGCACTGCACATCTAACCATGCTAGATCCCGCTCAGTCAAAAAACATCCTGGAGAGGCAGCAAAATATCTGCCACATCTTCAGCCATGCCAGTGAGCTGCCCCATTTGGAAGTCTGTGTCCACCCCAGCTCTCCAAGTCCAGAGAAACATTCTACACACCTGAGCAACTTTTCCCCAACTATTTGCTTTCACACAGGAAACAGAAATATATTAGAAGATTATAAAGTTTTCTGCAAAAAGCTGATCATATTCCATGTAAAAGGCTCTCTAGGATTGCAGTGTCTTTCAGACATCTGAAGCCCAAGGGTAAGAAATCAGACAGGGTAAGGTGCTGTATTGTTAGACCTGTGTGCTCAATTTCAGCCCAGCTGCTATAGTCACAAATACCAACAGGAACCTTCCGATTTCTGCCTTCATTTACATTTATTAGAAAACTTTGTTCTGCTCTGAAAGGACATAACCATTGAATTCAAAGAGAAACTGAATCACATATACAAGTGATTGGGTGAAGTTTAGGAGCAGTTTTTACATTGCTTTTTCCTTGACTTAGCCCTGCAGCCTCTAATCATTCGCTGGACAGCTGTGCTATGTGATTAATTTATTTAGGTGTTACTCTGATGCACAAATGTATATACTGAAAAGGACTACAGTATTGCTTTGCAGTAAGTAATAACCATGTTCCAGTAAGTGATTCAGTGCTGGAGTGTTTAGAAATGCAATCTTATGTAGCTTAATTAAAATGAAGTGCCCCTTTCAAGCTATTTGCTCTAGGTTTGCCTGAAAAAGTCCACTATGTGCTACTGGAGTTGGAAAAAGTGGTAAAATAGTTTCTGCAAAGACTTATTTTGATAAACACGAGTTCAAGAATAAAGCTACTTTGGGACATTGCTATGTCTGCAGCAAGACAACAATTTACTGAATGGAAAGTGTTGCACAGCAAGAGAGAGTGGAAAGAAAACTCCTCACTAGCCAAAGCTGAAAGAAAACAAATTCTAATGAATGTTGTTCACTTGTCTGGAGACATGATTTTACTCATTCTGTGCTCTGTGGCACAGAAACTGAATGATTGGAAAATGCATCAGCTAGCAACTTGACCTGGAATATTTCCACCCCTCCACTGATGGTTTCCTTGTTATTTATTTCTAGGGAAAACTGAGAAAACAATAAGCAGAATGGATAGAAAGGGACCCAAAGCCTCTTGAGTTCAGTGGGAGACTATTCACTGACTGTTGTGGACACCAGCTCAGGCCCTACACTGGTACCTCTGTTCACTGTAGGTCAGACCAGCAGTGACACAAGCTGTGGCACTCCCATGACATTGTGGTGGGCTAGGGGAAACAAAGTAAGCACAGGTAATTCTGTATCCTATTAAACCACCTTCCACATGACAAGGTGAAATCGAGTCTCCTAATTGCGATGACTGATTGAATAGGCACTGCCACTGCCTGACAGACCCGGAGTGAAAAGGGAGAGAAGTGAGATGGTAGGTGATGGGCCTGGAGCTTAGCAGAGGACTTGGCCCTCAGCAGCAGTGCAGCACCTCAATCTCTGGGCGAGGCTCATTGGCAACTTCTCTGCTCATTAGTTAAATATGACAGAAGATATCATATTTGAAGGAATATGTAATCTGAAGAGTGTATTTAGAGAAACACTGATCAGAAGACATGCTAACGGACTGGCATTCAGTCAGTCTACATGTCATTCTCAGACTCTGGCATTGTCCCCAGCTCTAGCTTATCCTCCTCTGTCGCTCGCTTAGTCACACTCCAGCTTGCAATTGAAAAGCAAAAAAGGCAAGAAAAGACAGTG